GCGGGGGCCCCAAGAGCACCACTGGCCGCACTGGGGATCGCATGCTTCGCTGTGCCGTTCCCTCGCCCTCCGCAGGAGAAGTCGGAGGAGAATGAGGAGGAGGACGAGGAGGAGGAGGAGGACGAGGAGGAGGAGGAGGAGGAGGAGGAGGAGGAGGAGGAGGAGGACGAGGACGAGGACGAGGACGAGGACGAGGAGGAGAGAGGAGGAGGAGGAGGAGGAGGAGGAGGAGGAGGAGGAGGAGGTGGAGGAGGAGGAGGAGGAGGAGGCGGAGGCGGAGGAGGAGGAGGAGGAGGACGATGAGAAGGAGGACGAGGAGGAGGAGGAGGAGGAGGAGGAGGAGGAAGAGGGGGAGGACGAGGAGGAGTTTGAGGACGGCGAGGAGGTATCCTTCGTTCTCCTCTGCCGTCTCCTGCCGCCGTTGCTGCTGCTTCTGCTCTTCTTACCCATTTTCTTTCTCTTCCTCCTCGTGCCTTCCTCTCTCCCATCGCCTCCCTCCACTCTTCTTTCCACTGCCTCCATATTTCCCCTCTCCCTCTCTTCCGCTTCATCCTCGATCTTCTCCTCATCCTCCTCGTCCTCGTGCTCCTTCTTCGTCTGCTCCAGTTTCTCACTCTTCTGTGTCTTCGCTGTGTCCTCGCCCTCTTCGACCGCTTCATTCCTTTCTTATTCCCGCAGGTCCTTCGCTGTTATCCCTCTCCTCCATTTTCTCTCTTCCCCTTGCCTTACCTTTCCTTTTCTCCTTCGCTTCCTCCCTCTCCAGCTCCCTCTCCCTTTCCCCCCTTTGTTTCTTTCTCCTTCCTTTTCTCCCTCTCTCCTGGCGCTCTTAAGCTCGCCAGGGTCGGTCTGACCTGATCATGGCATCGATTTGCTGTCTGTACAGCTGGCACGAGGGCTAAGAACAGCCCCAGCCTTGGAGGGGTACCCTTGTAGTCTTTGTGCTTGGGCTCTCCTCCGTGGAATGGGCATTCGTTTTGGGTGCCTCCATCTGGCCTTTTGTCCCTTGGCACACGGGCTCGTGTTTTGGATCTAAGCTCGTGTGGCCGTGTTTCGACTGTCAGATCGGGACGCCGAAAGAAGGACCACCTTGAGCTCAGTTGGGGCGCTGGCTTCCGGGACATTCCTCAAAAATCTAGGCCGAGGAGCCCGTTCGTGGCCGAGACTCGCCGTGGCCGGAAGGGCCCCAATCGTTCCTTATCTGGGGTTCTTTCTGACAGCGCGATGGCTGCATCAGTCAGTTTCGTTTATCCGATCATCCCCTTCGAGACCCCCACCAAACTACCCCCCAGTTGGGGATGCACCCCTCGAAACCCGAAGGGAACGGCCTACATCCCCATCTGGGGGGGTAAGTCGGCCAGTGGAGCCCAGGCCACGCCGCTGGGGATGGGGATCGGATGAAAGATACTCAATCAGAGCGCGGCTGCTCAGCGCGACTCTGTCGCGGCGTGTCGGGAGGGGCCTGCCGCCTCTGCCTCTGCCCCCGACTGACCCTGCGTGCCGGTGGTCCCACCTCTGCCGGTCGTAGGAGGCTCCGCCGCCCCTCTCGGCCTGGCCGGGGCCCTCGGCCCGCCCTCGGCAACACAGGAGCCATCGTGGTGCTGGTCACTGCGTGAAGGGTCAGGCAGCGGCGACGCGCTCTGGCTTGCCTCGAGGTCCTCCGAAGAGTGTTCTGAGAACAGTTTGATGTCTGCACGACGGGTTCTTCGAACCTTTCTGGCCGAGACTGCCATGTTTTGTCTGATCGGGCTGGTGTTGTAAGAGCACTTCTTGTGTTCTTAGGGCACTCTTTTGTTATGAGAGGATTTCGTGGCAGATCCATAGGCATGCCGGGACGGTCGGTCCCTGCGACATAAGAGGGAGGCTGGACCCGAGCGCCGCGCACCGGGCAGGCGCGCTTCCAGATGGTGTGCTTGTTTTTCTCCACCACCACCATAAGTTGGAGGGGGGAAGGAGGTGGAAGAGGAGGAGGAAGACGAGGAGGAGGAGGAGGAGGAGGAGGAGGAGGAGGAGGAGGAGGAGGAGGAGGACCCCCTCCCCTCCGACTTATGGTAGTGGTGGTGAACAACATCACCAAAAGCATGCGCGCGTGGGCCCATTCCCCACGATCGTGGGCGGGCGGGTTCCCTCACGGCGGCTTTCCGCGCGAGGCCTCGGACCTGCGCGCACGCGGGGCCGAGCTGGGCCATGGTGGTGTTTCGGGAAAGCGTGAGATTCGAGTGCGCTGAAACTCGGGTTTGCCGACGTTTTTTTGACCAGCGTGTCTTGTCCGACCAGATCGTTGCTGGCCGGGTGAAACGCGGCATGTGCGTCTTGATGGAGCAGCCCCTTGGTTCAAGCGCCTACCTCGAACCCGATATGACCAAGACGCAGGAGTTGGTGAAGAAGGGCTTGCTCCTGGACTGCACACTCGTGGATGCCAGCTCGGCCATGACGACGAGGGGGCCAAGGGGCCGCGCTACAAGCCGACGAGGTTTCCGACGACCAGCTTGGTAATCTACGAGGCGCTGCAACATGACAAATGCTCGAGGGACCACCACCCATCTGCCGTTGGAGAATCAGAAGAAGACGCGGGCGGCAGCGAAGTGGCCCGACAAATTGGACAGGCTGGCACTACGCGCGATCGAGCAGCAGATCGACTTCGACGTCGACGAGCACATCTCGCAGGGGCTTGGGATCCTGGAGAGCTACACCGTCGAGGACCAGCGCGAAGCGAAGAAGCGGAGGCTGCGTGGCAAGCAGCTCCCGAAGCGTCCTCCAGCTGAGGACGGGGGTCAAGAGCCGCAGGGGCATGGACTTCCACCTGAGTACGGGCCGGCGAAGGATCCTGACGGAGTTCCAGCAGCGCAAGCCGCGGGCCTCGAACCCGCACTTTCTGCTGAGGAGCGAGACCGTCGGGCGAGATGGCTCACCTGCGACCCCGCGGTCAGGCGCGACATCAGGAACTTGCGCGTCACTTTCGGCCACCCGACCAACGTGGCGCTGGTGAGGTGCTTGAGGAGGTCTGGCGCTAGGAGTTCCTGGACTGCGTCCGGGATTTCAGGTGCGACGCCTGCGGCGACATGATCAGGGCGAAGCACGTCCGCCCGGTCCGCATGCTGGGGCGCTATCAGTTCAACTTCCACGTGATGTTCGACGCGCTGTTCGCCCACGATGCCGAGGGCAACGCCCGCGCCTTCCTCGACATTGTCTGCAACGGCACGAGGTTCCATGTCGTTTGGTGCCTCCACGCGGGCGCGCGCGCCCCTTCGACCCAGGTCGCGCTAGACGCGTTCCTCGCGGTGTGGGAGCTGGGCGGGGCTACCCCAATCTATCTTCGTGGGCCGTGGCAAGGAGTTCGCCGCGGAGTTCCTGGCCCACGTGCGCGAGAATGGCGTGGAGATCCAGGGCGCAGCCCTGGAAGTGCACGAGCAATTCGGCAGGATCGAACAGCTGGGCGGCGTCTGGAAGGAGGCGTGGCATCGCGTGGTACAGGATGCCCAGATCACTAAGGACAAGGACCTCAGGGGCGTGTGCGGTGTCATCAACCAGGTGCGCAGCGCGACGGTGATCTCCGACGGCTACGCCCCCGCCAACTGGGTGCTAGGTACTCGCGGCCTGCGGGTGCCCGGGTCAATGCTACAGGGCGCCGAGGCCGAGAAGCTACATGTGCAGGAGGCGGCGCTCGACCCGGAGTCCGCCATGGCATCCAACCTGCTGTGGCGCGGGTGCGCCAAGGTCGCCTTCGTGAAGATGGGCAACGACAACCGCGTGAGGAGGGCAAAGCTGGCGAGGTCAACGCCTGCGAGGGGGCCATTTCCCGCGGGCGCCCACGTGCGCTTCGGGCGCGCCCGCGCGTGGCCAGGCGAGTCACCCGCCCTCTACCACCGTTGGTTCGGCGTCGCGCGCGTCATCGGCCGCGACTTCTGCGACCCCGAGAAGATGGCGGACGGGCTCGAGTCTGCGCTCCGACCTGCGGCCGTACAGGGGGGCCCTCGAGCGATTTGGCTACGGCGTGGCGGCGGCGCGGTCTGGGCAAGACCGGAACAGCTTCGGTTCGCGACGGAGGGCGAGCTGATCACCTGGGGCCGGATGCCCGCTGATCAACGTGGAGCGGCACTTTCGCGAGGGCCTCGTTGGTTCCTGGACGTTCGTCGCGAAGGTCTTGAGGGCGGAGCACCTGAAAACCCCGAAGTTGCTGCGCTACCAGGCAGGGGACCCACGGCGGCTTCGGCTGCTACGACTGGTCCGCGCCTGGAGCCCCCAGCGTCGAGAACTACGGAGGCACCTACTCAGCCTGCTGCGGGGGTCGACGTGACCAGCTCATCGCTACCGGGACACGACGCATTTCCAGCTGAACCTTGACCAGGAGAGGATCTCACCCCTGAAGTTCCTGAGCATCAGCCAGCACGAGGAAAATATGAACGAGGACATTGAGACGACTGCGCCTCCCCCTCAGCCTGGACCTCCTGGACCTCCTAAACCCCTTGAGCAGCCTCAACCACCAGGGCGCCTTCCTGGATATGGGCCCCAACGTGCCCGAGCTCGGCTTCGCCGAGTTGGCCCCGTGGCTGGAGGCGCGTGCCTCGTCGAGCATGACGCCGACGCGGTGTGCCACGGCTGGAGGGATGCGCGGTTGACTGGACGTTCTCGCGGTAAGGAGATCACCCTAATGGACTTGACCAAGGCAGAGCGGAAGGAGTTCGACGCGAGGATGGCCAAATAATGGGACAACTGGCGCAGTTTCAGGGCAGTGACGGCGGTCGCCGGTGACGATGCGAAGGAGTTGCTCGCTCGGGCGAGGCCGATGCCATCGAGATGGGGCCACGCCAGCGATAACGAGTACGACCCGAAGCTCCCCTTGAAGGCGAAGTCGAGGTTGGTGGCGGTCGGCTGCTACGAGTCGGTGCACGTCCGGGCGGGCTCGCCGACATCTTGCCTTTTGGTGTTCCACTTGATCTGCAGCGCGGCGGCCAGGGGGCACTGGCCACTGTCCAAGCTCGACGCGACGAGCGCTTACTTGC